TTTTCATATACCGCAAATAAGGTCAAATGAAAACTAGAAGTTTGGGTAATAGTAACGTTGCTCTCCCCATTTACACAGTGTTACACACTAGCCCACTTCTGATTAGTCGACGTTCAGCCTAGCTCACTTCTGATTGGTCGACATGGGGCCACACATATGGCACAAGGTTAGAGGGGTGTTCCGCAATGCCGTTGATATCGTGTGTTCTATATTTCAGTCTGCCGGCGCTTTTAATACTCCAAAAACATTGACAAACTGAGTCTAACACACAATCTCTTTAGAGAGTGATGACACCTATGTCACAGGCATTCTCTTTCTCGGAATAAAAACGTAAATGCAAGACATCACAGAAAGCATACAACAGAGCGGCACATCCCTAACCTCAAGCAAGGTAGACCAGTCTAACAAACTTATCAATGAAACGTGGCCTATTTGTTTGGGGAGACTAACGATTGTTTAAATGAAGTTTGTTTACATTAAAAAAATTCTTATAGGGGCATGATTACTAACAGTCTGCATGGCAAATTTCAACAACTTACACTGAACGGTTACTGAGTTACAGATTTTTAAAGTTCGGCAGGACTTCTGGAAAGGACTCTAGTTACTATTTTACTAGTAAAATACACCCCAAACGGGCTGGTAATCGGTTGTAGCCGATCCCGGATACTTAGGGCCAACGTTGGAAATCTGCTGTGTACAGCCGGCAGGAACAGAATCGATTTCCTTTTTTTGTTTACTAGCCCTGCCTCGCGGCCAATCAGATGTGGTTTACCAATCAATACGGATTACAAGCACACAAGAGCTGGTGTTTGATTAGGCTCACGAATGTCTGTTTATGTGTGTGTGGGTGTGTGTGGGTGTGGGTGTGTGTGTGTGTGTCTGTAGGTGTGTTTGTTTGTGTGAGTGTGTGTGTGATACAAAAGTGCCACCATTATAAAAAGAATCCTCCATGTGCAAGTCTCAGAAACCCGGTTCAACCCTTAGATTATACTAGGGCCCCCTACGTCAGTATGGTTGGAGCTCTTAAATTCCCCCCCCCCCCCCACACACCCCCCCCACACACACACACATACACGCACGCACACAATTGCCTCCCTTGTTGGGATGGAGTTATTCAAACAAATTACAATTAAACCTCGCTTAACGAGCATAACTGGTTCCAGAATCATACTCGTTAAGCGAAACACTCGTAATGCGAAACCATTTTTCTCATATAAATGTATGTGAAATACAATAATGCGTTCCATGTCGAAAAAATACTCACAAAATGATATGTATAACGTTTACGAAAATAACATTATTTACACATTGTTAAGGAGAGTAAATCATCTTTATCTTTTCTTCAAACGTGGAAAAAACCCACATGGAATGCGAATTCGATTTGCAAAAAAAAAAAAAAAAAAGTCGAAATAATTATGATAAATAGCTAATTATGTTTTTACTAGAAAGATGTCCAGAGACATTTGTTTTTGCCGACGATTCAAAATTTAGCGAAGATGCGACACAGCATTATCATTAAATAAATTTGCAGCGCGCATAGCCACTTTATTATTAGGGTGGTGCTTTTCAATGTAAGATGCAACAGTTTCCCATGCTTTCAGCATTTCTTTTATTTTTCCAGAAGATTGTTACTTTTTTGTTACCTCCTCCTCTGACACACTTTCCTCCAGAACGTCTTGCTGTGAAACACAATGCAACCCCATAAGCTCTTGGGTGGTCAGCTCTTGGCTGTGCTCTTCCACAAGCTTTTCGATATCACTGTTATCCACCTACAATCCCATGATAGTGGCCAAAGACACAATCTCGTTGACTACAGGTTCCACAGGTACTGTCTCGAACCCCTCAAAGTCACAAATCGGCAACGCTCCCCGGCCAAAGCTTCTTCCAAGCATAAGTTAGGGTTCTCTTGGTAACCCCCCCCCCCCCCCCCTCCCCGCCTTGTCGTTCATCATGAGGCAGGCAACGATGTGAAAGTGAATTTTTCAAAACTCTTTGAGATGGAAGGTTAATCCCTCCAGTCACTTGAAAACAATGCTCGAAGAGTGTTTTAGTGTAAAGCTTCCTAAAGTTAGAAATAACTTGCTGGTCCATGGGCTGGAGTAACGGAGTGGTGTCGGGAGGAAGAAACTGGATCTATATGAACTTAAATTCTTCAAATGCAAGTTTGAGAAAATGTGTGATCACAAACGACACTACGATGCTACTGGAACGAGTGCTAAACACAGACTGATGTTACAAGCGCATAATTAGATACTTCCCCTCTCCTCGCCACTCCTTATGCGAAACGTCGCTCGTTAAGCAAGTCATTCTTTTAAAATCTGTTTTGCTCGTTATGCGAATTACTCGTTATGAGAGGTGCTCGTTAAGCGAGGTTCTACTGTACTTTTTACCCTAACGAAGCTAGGAGTTAAAGAAAGACTTGCTTGGGGGATAAAGGAGTTAAAAAGGAGTAAAATAAGATAATAAAGACAGTTAAAAACAAGAGATAAGCAAATTCCAAGCAGGATAACATTATAGCTAAGAGAAGGGTTTTCCTCCCAGATAACGCGCGGTCAAGAATCCAGTCGTCTTGTCAGACTTGTGCAAACAGTGAGATAATAATCCGGTTTCTATTAATGGCACGTCCTGTCTGTTGCCCTGATGGACATCGACGTGCCTGTCTGCATATAGATCGACATACTCGATTGTCGTTCCTGGTTTACAATGTCCGGCAACTATTCTCATTCGTTTCCGTTAGATATTTTGTATGTCTGTTTGTCGGTTAATTGAATATGGTTCAATATGTTTGGGATAATTGTTATTTATTGAGGGATTCTTCTTCTTTATCTTTTCTCTTTCTCTTCCCCCGCTTCTTTTTCCTTCTCACCCTCCTCGACATCTTGTTTGTTTTGACCATCAGCCTCGGGTGACGAAGAGAAGTATGGTGACAGCTCTTTTGTGTTTTATAAGAGAACAAAAAAAGTTGGAAAACCTTACAAGTGTCTTATAAACTATAATAACCATGCTATTGTTTTGTAGCCTGTCGTAAGGTTTTAAAGGTTGCCAAGAGTGGTAAGTACGTGACTTCACTGTGCAGACGAACACAGTGAAGTCATAATGACAGTTCAAAGATGGCTGTCCCACTTTTGACATGTACCCAGGTAGGCTTTCTTTGGAAACCCTCTCGTGTGAATCAGGCAATCAGCAAACACACGAGAGTATCTCTTGTCACAATAAACTAAACTGACTTGTTGCTGTGACTGTTTACTAATAAACACCGCTCTCGTGGCATTAGGACAGTGGTACAGGAGTCGCACAATGGAAGCGACCAGGGCCTTATCATATACTGTACCTAAAGACAGCAATGGGTGTTCTGCCACCAACCGTAATTGTGGATACAGCAGCTCACTTTTAGTTATGACCAAGTCTTTTTCTTTGGCCATACGCAGTATTGGCGGGAGCCGACGTGGTATAGCGGCTAGACGTTTATCTGCGGATCGAAAAGTTGTGGGTTTGGGTACTGACAGAGCCAGACTATTTTCAGAAATAACTTTGGCTCTCAGGTCGACCCAGTCTTGAATGGGTCCTATGTAAAGTCCTGGGAAGTAAGGCGGTGGGCGTGATGCTGACCACATCACCCATCAAGTCTCGATTGCTCTATAAAATATAGATCTAGCCCTGTAGTCCCAAAAGCTCAAGGCATGGAAAGGGGTCTCTTTACTTCTACGCAGTACCGTCACCTTTATTTAAGCATCATTTCTTTTCAAAGCTACTGTAATAAACATTCCGTGGTGAGTACTGGCACCGTTTTTTAAGACACTGTTTAGTGAATACCGGCACTTTCTTTACTAAACTTATCTTCATGTCTATCTATTGGGGCAGCGACTGGCTCCGCGATAAGGCGCTTTGGCGGGAGACTCGGGTTTCATCCTCAGTAATAGATGGCATGAGTAGATTCTGACAGTAGGAAAGCTGGAGGGGAAGAGGGGTAGAGAGAGACCGAGATAAAAGATGATGGGCAGTTTGACGTCATGGCGTGGAGGATGATCTGTGTCAGTGTTGATTGAAAGTACACAAGACAAAAGGTTGTGGATATCCATGACTACCAACGCCACACGGCATGAACTTTAAGAAGAAGAAAAATGGATGGTGATTTTTGTAAGTTTGTTTGTTTGTTCGAGGGCATGAGAGGAATCGACAGTATGCATTCACGTAAAGCAGATCTGTAAAATAAAGGTAAAGTGCAAAACTCAACGTTCAGGAACACGACTAAAATCAACCAGAACTTTCTGCCGGAGTTTAGTTTAGGTTTAGAGGGCGGATCAACATCATGACACAAGGGTAGTAACGCGTAAGTGCTTAGTACTACTTCTGACTCAAGCCTGAGTCAGAAGAATCTCAGCGCAGTACACGAACTCAGTAGCACCGGCGAGGAACCTGAAATACTTTAGGTAGATTCTTAACTCCAAATTTTCTCGGGCAGCACAGTTAGTCTACACTTTTTCGATTTACAACTGCCAAGGGATATTTTTTAACGTGAGCAGAAATACCCACAGGAGTCCGACCTTACTACCCAGAGACCAGGAAAAATTACTAGAAGTCACCGTGAAAAAATCCCAGCGTTTATCGGGGTTTAAACCCGAGACCTCCAGCACTTGAGGCGGAGGCTATCCCTCGAGACCACGCAGCCCCCGTATGTATGACAAGCTAGCTTTACTCAAGGCCCTTTGGGAGTGGGAACACAATGAGGAAACAGGTCATTATGATGTGAAGACAATGATGCAGTTAGCAGTAACTAAGAGATCTATTCGGCACGCTGCACTCAGAGGAGATCGAAGGCGATGGAACTCAAACCTGGTTGCTGAACATGAGGACGGAGCACTTATGGGAATGTCCTGCATGAGTACTCAACACTCAGATCTAATTATGAATGCTAGTTTCATGTATTCTCATTGTTTCTTTCCCTCAGGGACCAATTAACGATGTAAGATGACCATGACACAAGGCAATGGTGACCTGAGATGTGCAACTCCCTTGTGGCTCGCGTCTGTGGCATGTGCCAGCTACTCAAGGCCTACATTTCCTGCGTGTTGTTAGTGACAACAGTTGCCATGAATAAAACAGGTACAGCTGCAATGCTACTTCTGCACTGACGACCGGAAATGGTTAATTTGATGCAAACCACTGGTGGAAAAGGGGGGGGGGGGTAATAACCATAAATGGTAAACTTTACGCTGGTCTCCCCATTTACACACTGCTACACACTAGCTCACTTTTGATTGGACGACCTACATACCAACTCACTTCTCATAGGTCGGCCCCGAGCGATCCGACTTTCACAAAAGGTCAAGTGATATTCCACACTGGCGCGGATATCGCATGCTATATATTTAACCATGCCAGAGCTTTTAACACTTCTAAAACATTGAGATACTGGGTCCGGTCAACACACAACCCCCCCCCCCACCCCCCCCCCCCCCCCCCCCCCCCCCCCGACAGTGACAAAACCTATGTCACAGGCCGTCTCTCTCTCGGAAATAAAAACGAATAGGGAAGAAAACAAACATACTATGACACTCATAACCTCGACCACGGTAGACTAGTCCAACTAACTTATCAATGGAGTTGAGCTACAACCGGTGGTGTATAAATGGGGAGACTATCGTATAAAAAATCCATTTAATTTACTCGGTTAAACCATGGGAGCACAGACCAACGACCACAAATTTCAGCTATAGCTAGAGCTTACATAGAGGTGGTTTGAACACGGTCTGGATTTTCAACAGTAAATTTTATTGTTGTCGCCCCTCCCATTTTTTCCCTTTAAAAAACAGTTGTAGTCTTATGCACCAATTGCGTTAAAGAACGCCTTTAATTACAAACTTTTTTTTTCTTCAAATAATTATCTCAGAGCTGAGAAATGCATGAATTGCCTTCAACATACACCCAGATCATAAATTATCTTGTCCTGTTTTCCCTTGCAGCATCTCCAGCCTGCGAGGATCTAGCGTGTGAGAACAGCAATGTGTGTCAATCATCAGTCATCAACAACACACATACAGGACACACTTACTGCTCCTGTATAGGAGAGTGGGCAGGACTCCGTTGTGAGCTAAAACTCTTCGTCTCTGCCCAGTCTGTAACCAGTCAGATGGCAGTCCTGAAACTTCATGGTCGTCCCTGGCCACATAAGAAAAGAGGCACACTTCATGATCTGTTTGTGTCGGAGGTGACCATTGCCATCTGGAATTTCAACGTTTCAGATCAATGTTTGCTTTTACAACAGAATATGTCTGCAAAAAATGCTATAATTTTAACAGGTTTGGACCGACAACAAGAGTATCTTGTCTGCATTGCAAATGGATTTGTGGATTCTTGTTTATTTTTCCAACAGCAGCCTTTAAATATTCCCAAATTATCTACTTGTATTTATTTTGAAACGAAACTTGTTGACGTGGAATCTTTTGATATTGGTTTAATTATTGTGCCAAGTGCCGTTGTTATGTTTATTGTTGTTATAATTATTTTCGTTTACTGTCAGCGTCATTCTCTCTTGGTTCAGCTGTTTTTAGACAAAGTCTGCTGCAGAAGCTGTTACTGTCTCAGAAAGCACATCCAGAGAAGACAGTGCCTTACATACAGACAAAGTGATGTCAGTGGGGACATGCTTATGCCTGGTGATGTCTCCACAGACTTTGAGTCAGTGTGCGAAGCACACTCCAGGGCCACAGAAGAATCAAATGGCAGAAGGACGCGTTCTAGCAATGCATCGTCCTCACCGTGCAGAAGTGCCTGTTCACTAGACCCTGATGGGTCAGTGTCAATTCCAGCTTTGCTAGACCCCAACACATTCCTGTATGAAAATCAGAGTCTTATTCCACCTCTATATTCGCCTCAAGATCACAAAGTCATGACTTTGACTTATATAGACGATGACTTAATTCCATTAAACACAGGACACACAGTTGAAAACCACATAAATAGCCCTTTCCCAGAACCTTATTCTGTTAGTTTATCCCAAAATCCAGGTGAGCAAGACAGAATGTTCAAAGACAGTACATCAGGCTGTGGCATTCTGCAAGAATTGTCTGTCATCCCAGGACCAGTGATGCAGAAATGTACACCTAACCAAATACCTGAATGCATTCTCTTTAAAGAAACTCCAGGTTTCGGTCAATACACTGGACCTGTGAAACAGCAATTACTCGTCCATCCATACCTCCATCGCCCGTATCATAAAAACCACATCCTTCATCGACCAGACCATTCCAATCCCAACTCCAGCCAGTTCTCTCATAATGAACACGTTAGATTCAGAGAACCAAACTTCTCTGCTCTTCGTCAAAGACCACTTTCCTTTCCTGCGACATACTTGTGTCAGGATACATCAGGAATTGGAGAATTCACATTTAGTTATTACAACAATCACTGCTTAAAGTCACCACGAAAGTCAAGCCTTAGAAACATAGATGAAAACATATTATCTCTGGTACCAGCTTGGTCAACGAATTGTAACTTTGGAAATCAAGTCACCAGAAGTAATTCTGACACAAATAGTATAAAAATAAATCATTTTCCGTGTAACCCGCAATGCCTCCCGTGTGCCGTGAAATACAATGCGCAAACATGTGTCTCAGTCACCTTTGACAATACATCAATTGAAACTTTTGAATCAAACACACTACCACGATCAAAGAAACCCAAGTCTGTTCCACCGTTTCCCAGAAACAGCATCCAGGACTCCTTACTCAACACTTCGTTCAAGGATCACCAGAGACCTCTGATTGCTGCACCCCCAAAACGTCCAACAAATCTAAATATTTCTAACCCAATACAGAAACCGAACTCCTCAAACCAAGCTCAGGAAGTCAAATTTGCCAGTACCGAAACATCCATATCATCGGAATCAAAATCACACAGTAAACCAGTTAGAAGCCTTATAAGCCATTTCGAACACAACTTATCATTCCTGAAGCCCTCAAAATCAAACCGCCCCTCAGAGGAAGAGAAAGAATATCAAGACTTGTTATCTCCACTTGCTGTAGAACGAGTAAAAGCTTCAAAGAAATCTCGGCATTCAAATGCTCATAAAACTTCTTCAGGAAACAAAACACCATCCTCGAATGATACTCACAATCGTAATTCAACTTTCGGGCCTCCAGTCTTTGAAGGACATCCTTCTGAACATATCATACCCCCGTTTACAACAGACAACCAAGACGACGGGGAAGATCTTAGCGACACCAGCATACTTAATGAACGGTCGGGTAGGAGTTCCAGAGCCTCAAACGTCAGCAAAAGTGGCGGCAGTGTTATTTCAAGTTTCGAAGATGATGACACTAACCTTGTAACCCCATTTGACACAGACAATTCGTCTGATGACGACACCTACAAGGGCATTCAATCTTTGACCGCATCAAACGATACTTTGCAGGATCTTGAAGTAGAGCATTTGCTGCTGAATGCCGAAGGAGTATCGAGTTTTGAACACCCAGTGTTGCACAATGATAGAAAATTAATCCTTCATAATGAAGAGTCGGAAAAGTTATTGAACCATTGATAATATGTTGCTAACATGTAACATTTAACCAGCCATGAGAAATAAATGATTGCTAACACTGATGTTTCAGAATTTCAAATTATTTTTTTTTCCCTAGTCACATTTTTGGTTCTGTATTATTAGGCGACCACAAATTACGTCACCAGACAGTCCAATATTTTTTAGAGGGTGGTAAGACCGGGTTGCCCGGCTTTCTGATGCTTTACCTACCCCAAAACGTTCCACGTGGCCATAACCCCAACCCACCAACGTTTCACGAGAGAGTGCAGCCTAGTTTCCACGACTAAGTCTTAAGACTGCAGGCAGCTTATCTACCACTCCCTAAAATATCGGATTATCCCGTAACGAACTAGAAAAAAATTAGAGCAGAAGGCATGGTATCAGGAAGGAGATGCAGGGGCTGACCGACAAGAAGATGGGCACAGGATATAAGTGACTCCTTGAGTGTGAAAGTGCATGAGGCGGGAGAACTGGCGAGAGACCAAGTTCCTTTCAGGCAGACTGTGATGAGAGCGACGTTCTGCAAAGGACCTGCTACATGATGATAATCCCGTAACCTGTGGATTTCCTCTGTTTGTGGACGGCTATTCAGTAAAAACTACATTTTTTTTTTTTGTATTACACACGTGCAGTGATGAGTCTCTGCTTCTGTACACAATTTTTGCTTAATTGATTACAAAAGTTCTACCACCGCTCCATTATACAGGTATACAGGTTAGTTGCGTATCCTTTACCAACTCCAGCAGCTCATGGCTGTTGTGTGGTTTCTCTGGGCAAATTTACGTCCATTAGTTTGCCATTGGTTACTGGACGGTCGGCCCCCTGATACCACTGTCGAAACCAACTCAAGGCGCATGGCCCGCAGCTGGGATCGAACCCGGCACCCTGGCATTACGAAGCGTTCGCATCGACTTAGCCACAGAGCCCACCGTTACATTATAGTCTCCTAAAACAGGGACATAACTTTGGAGAACCCTTTACTACAGTGATATCTAAATATCCAACCTTTTTCTGGTCAAGCCTGGCTCAAGTTCATTGCAAGGACACCGCCCCCACGCCACCCCACACTCTCCGAGTATATGGTCAGACCCCCCCCCCCCCCCCCGCTCGCTCCAACATAACAAAATGGGATTAAAAAGAGGTCAATAGATTTCAAAGTGCATCAGAAAGAATGTCGATAAGTTTTGTTCAGAACGTATTCCTAATCCATAACTAAATGCGCTTGATATCACATTAATTCGATTGTTTACGGTTGATGTACAGACTGCTCATGTAAACAAACATGTCCTTGTTGTTTTCTTCAATAATTACCTAGTTTTAAAAAAAAATATATTATTTATAAAGTAAAACAAAATATTTGTAGAAAACATTATTAAAAGTAAAAATGCACTCACATTCAAAATTGTTCGACGTCTGCTTGAAACCCCCAAGGTTGGAAACTACTGTTGTAATATATCATAAAGGGTGGATAGTCATAATGAAACATGAGCAGAGCGAAACCGAGAGAGAGAGAGAGAGAGAGAGAGAGAGAGAGAGAGAGAGAGAGAGAGAGAGAGAGAGAAAGAGAGAAAGAGAGAGAGAGAGAGAAAGAGAGAGAGAGGAGAGAGAGAAAGAGAGAGAGAAAGAGAGAGAAGGGAGAGAGAGAAAGAGAGAGAGGGGGAGAGAGAGAGAAAGAGAGAGAGAAAGAGAGAGAGAGAAAGAGAGAGAGGGAGAAAGAGACAGAGAGAAAGAGAAAGAGAGAGAGAGAGAGAAAGAGAGAAAGAGAGAGAAAAAGAGAGAGAGAGAAAGAGAGAGAGAAAGAGAGAGAGAGAGAGAGAAAGAGAGAGAGGAAGAGAGAGAGAGAGAGAAAGAGTGAGAGAAACAATTCCTTCCTAGCAGGCGTGCCGCCACCAAAACATCGTGTAAGAAGGCCATCTGCCTGCTTAAAATTTTCCAGTGGGCAGGACCCAACATCTTTGAGTCTTGTTTAAGTGTACAATTATAATAGTTGTTATTATGAGCTGAACGGCAAATAAATATAAACACTCGTTAATACGAACTTCAAGGGACCGAACAAGAGAGCTTAGGTTAAACTAAATTCTTGCTATCCCGTAACTGAAATTTCAGTATTGTAAACTTTAGTACTAGCTAACTCCCAATTCAAATAGGTTAGTTGCGTATCTTTTACAGGACGTTGCAGAACCAACCCCAACAGCCGCTGGCTGTTGTGTGGTTTTTCTTGGCAAATTTACGTCCAGTAGTTTGCCATTGCTTTCTTGATACCTCTGTCGAAACCAACGCAAGGCGCATGGCCCGCAGCTGGGTTCGAACCCAGCATCCCAGCATTACGAAGCGTTCGCATCGACTTAGCCACAGAGCCGACCCCAATTTAAATAATAATTATAATAATAACCACACACACACACATAATTTACAGCAATAACAAACAAACAAACAAACAAAAATACATCCAGACCCAAAAAATCGAATCCAATGGTATAAACCGAGATACAATGAATTCAATACTCTCACATGAAAAATAAAAATAAAAATGAATGCACACGTGGAAAAAGTATGTAAGTAAGTTGTACCCCACCAGTACATCACACAAGCGATAAACACCCGGTGACACAAGGTGTCACCATGCGGATGAGGATCACCTGTGGAGAGGTCCCGGAAACCCCGTTTAG